TTTGACATGATATTCTAGTGATCATTGTAGTGACATCATTTGACATGATATTCTAGTGATCATTGTAGTGACATCATTTGACGCTATATTTTAGTGTTGATTGTAGTAACATCATTTGTCATGATATTCTAGTGTTGGTTGTGGTGACATCATTTGACATGATATTCTAGTGTTGGTTGTAGAGACATCATTTGACATGATATTCTTGTCTTGGTTGTCTGGTGCTTAGTAACTGCATGCATTATGCATGATCATATTGTTCCCCATTCCTAATATTCTCTCTACATATTTATTCTCTTATTTCATCTCTTAATATTTTAATGAAATATCAGATTTTTGATTTCTTTTTAAAAATAGTGTTGACTTCATACTTATTTCTTTTATTTCTATTTTCTGTTTCATTTTCTATTTTAAATATGACCATAATTTTTCATTTCTTGACTCATGCCTATTTTACTTATTATTCTTCATTAGCCTATTAAATTTGAATAAAACCAGATTCTAGTTATTTTCACAGATATTTTGGCATATAAGGAAATGTATGAAAATTGTGAGACCGCATATGAGTACTGATGGATCGAAATGGTGAAAGTTTACATAGACTGAGGCTCTGTTGAAGTATTGACTTTTTCTCTTTTTACATGAAAAGATCAGAAAGCAAACACATGTTGTTAACTCATTAAACAGTGACCTGTTCACTTCCAATTTGAGTTTCAACATATCACTATTTTGCCTCATCATGATAAACCATGACATCTCATTTCTTCCCAGCCCTAAAGTGAAACAGAAAGATGCTATGAGTATCAGAATGATTTTGCCTTGGTTTTGGACATATATGCTTACAATTATGTTTTAAAATAATACTAAGTGTTTGCCGTTTGGTTTTGACCTGTTTTATCACGGGCTTTCAATCTAATTGAAACCCATGGTCTTATCAACCAATAAAAGAGAAGTATTTACAAATGATTTTTTTTTAAATTTTCAAGAGTTTCCCGTCTGAAAGATATTATCACATATGAAATGTTAATTAGATTTGAGACTATTACTTGCAAAAACTGAAATGAAAAGTATGTAAAAGAATAATATGTATTATATTAAATCATTTAGTTAACATATAAAGTCATAAAATCACAGAATTCTTCAGAGAGAAAACCATAAATGTTTGAGGATGATCATTTACAGCCTTGGGGTAGATCAACATGTTTCATGCAATATTAAGCACATATTTTGCTTTACATAGCAATTTATGTAGAATCATGCTTAGCAGGGACTTGAGATATTTTTTGTTTGAAGTTGTCAGACATGTAAAACATATTTGATCAACATGGGAAAATATATATACGTACTAAAGTATGAAGTCACCAATTATTTTTACAAAATCGTTTCCTACAACAAATATTGCATGTGAAAAACCAACATAGTAAATAAACATGGGTTAATGTTTCTTTCATACCTTACATCATTTAGTTTTAAATTATAGCACATCCAATATATATGTATCTTGGAAACATAGTGTCATTTTCTACTGGTAGAGCAAGTTAATTTCTACAAAATGAATATTTTCATCTAAGTTCACCTAGTTCTCAGATTTCAGTCAACAAGCAACTGAGAGCAAGCAAAGAATCCAGGTGACGACCAAGGACAGTTAACATTCACCTTAGATAGCCATATCATCACCTCTTTCACTAAGAATATGATAAGAGATAATGCAATTTCCCAGTCTTCTTCATAACTATACATTAATTTATGGTTAATATATTTGTTGTTGTGAAAATTCAAATCCTGCAGTCTAAGGCAACCCATTAGGTCTTAATTCATATTTTTGTAATTGTTCTAGATTATCCCGTGCCAGGACTATAGTCTATAGTCCTGGCACGGCATAAGTTCTAAATACTTATACATATTATTGATAACTAGTATTGAATGTATGTCATTTTGATCTATTAAAGTCATGGACAGACCTTTCCTTCAGTGAATTAATGTCTGGATGTTCATATTATTGTTATTATTTTAATTAATGTTTATACATGTATGTCACTGTAGATACACAGTCTTGACCAACCTTTCTTTATTCTAAATTAATAATTCATGTTAGTCCTGCTGTTGAATATTATATACTTTATCAAGGGTTAAATTGGGTGTGAGGCAAGGTAGTACTTTATCAGTGCTCCTAGTATAGCAATAATAGCCAGATAAGACCCTTGACTTTATTTGAAAAGTATAGAATATTAACAAATCTATCTTGGACACACATTTTTCCCTTTCCTAAAACTAACCCATGTCTACCTTTTTTAAATAAATGGGAAATATCATTAAGAATTGGGAAATATCATGTAGACTTTTGATTTTGAAATATGAAATAAAATCAAACTCCCCTTAACTTAGAATATAAAATCTGCTCTGATTTAAAGTCAGTTTAAAAATTTGTTGTAGGGCAAAGGTGTTTGAACTATCTTAGTCTATCACATACATATATAGCTGTATATGTATAGAAATCACTATGTATATCTAGGTTCAAGTCATGACCTCAGGATTTGGAATTATGTATAAATAAAAATGTATATTCCATAGATATTATATTACTAACAGATATTGGATATACTGTGTATACATAGAACATTTATAAGGAACTTGGAGTTTTGAAAGGCCTCTCTGGAGTGGGGATTCTTACTAGGATAAAGATGCTTAACAAAAGTTGGCATTATTTTGAAAGACATGTTAGATAGAAATTTAAGCTCATACAATATGTATACTTCAAAGAATTATCACTGTACATATACTTGTGCATCATTTGAAATTAGTGTTTGAAATATAACAATGAATGTTTCAGATTGTTTCATCTTCAAATATTATGAACACATGTGAGTAATAGCAGATACCAAAGAGGTTAGTTGAATAAGGTTTTATAGTTTGTGGCAGTCCAATATTCAGGACCAACACAAAATTTATGATAGAAGCACGATGTCAAATAATAAATTAGACACATCTAAATAGTTCATACTGCTCCAGAATTCCAAGCTCATTTTTCAATGTCAATTCTCTAGCATTTCTATTTAAGAGATTTCTTAAGGAATCTTAATATTTCTAGGATTATCAAGTGCCTGTGGTGAAAACTTTAATCAGAGCTGAGAACATGCTTCATTCTATAAGATCACTTTTTCTAATATTTGAACAAACTGCCTGATTTATTCTTAGTTTGCAATATAAAGTTATATAACAGAATGCTTTGCCTGTGCAAACTACAAGCAACATTTCAGCCTAGTTATATATTGCTCTGTTATACAGTATATTAAAGAATGAGAAATTGATTTAAGATGATGAGGCAAGATGAAATATTTGTGTTCTGTTGCTGTACATCCCAGCTGAAAATAGGTTGACTGCTTTCAACATGTGTTCCAGCAGGCATCTTCTGAAAGAATCCACTTTCAAAGTATAAATGAAATTTTTGGAAAATATCATTTTAATGTATGTTGGTACAGTTTTTTACAATGAAAGACAGTTAGAATATGAACATAGGACGGATGAACATTAAAAGGTACATTGGCTTGGTTAAATAAGAAATTCAGTGCAAAGTGTAAAGACTATATGAACACCCTGTATATAATATCATGGTTCAGTCTTAGATATTTGCCTGCAGTGACTTGAAATGTAAATATTGAAAGAAATGGATATATCTTCAGGAATTTCTGGAGGTACATCTAGCAACTATAGTTTCCACAGAAACTGACTCCCCCTTAGCAACCGTAGAATAAGGCATCAAAAATGAGAGAATTAATGTGATGCTATACAGGCAGGCATGAATCTGGCCTATGAATTAGCTCCCTAAGTTATATTGGTTCAAAAACAAAAATACTGAATTTCTTTAAACATTTAAAATCCAACCCCTTCTACAGTTAGGTACATGTATATTTGAATTGGGAAATGACTTGTTAAAGTGCAGGTGTTTTATTATTTGGCTTAATATAATGAAATCAACTTGAGTATATTGTTTTAGGTACCCTTGAATTTGATTTACAATATGTCCCTTTTTCTTGATTACATATTCGTTCTAAGCCCCAGCTTGATTAGAATTTGATAAGAACTATATCCAATCAAAGAAGAGGATACTACAAAGTATCATGGGATTAAAAAACCTACATTGCTTGTGCATGTTTTTAAGTTTTTAGTCTATTGATAGAATAACAAAAGAAACGTGATGGATTTAAATAAATGATTATGGTAATCCATATATCTGTCTACCATGATTAAAACTAGAAGCAGTTGAATTGAAGTATTAAAATGACACCTGTTTTCATGAAATCTTTATATTGAACAATAGATGTTTTTGCTCATATTGAAATAATTTGATCGATTGCAAAAATATGATTGAAAGAAGATGTTTTATCTGAACTGCATAATTCTTGATTGTCATCTAGGCTATTTTATGTACAAATATTAAAAAATTATATTCATAAAAGACATAAAATATTCATTCCTGTATGCTTTCAACTTGGGCATATAGACATGTGTGTGTGTTTGATCATCTCTAATACTATAAGGGGGTGGGTTACCCTTGACTGTTGGAGTGTACAAGGCCAATCTTTAATAGAAAGTAAACCATTAAGTAATGAGATACAATGGAGAGTTGTGTTACAGGAAAAAGAAACCAGAATTAATGTGATTTTAATTAAAAGAGAAGTAAAAACATATGTTGGTACTTGAAAAACAGTTTCGTCTCTTATTAATGTTTTTTGCAAAGTAAGCAAATGTAAAAGTGAAAGAAGGATAGCTTTGTTAGTGAACCTAAACAAACTTAACAGCTCATAATGACATTGAGTTAGAGTAGAGCTCATGTTTTACTATAGTCTCTATTCTCATGTTATAATATATTATATGTTAAAACACAGGGATGATTAGCTGGGCCCTGAAGTTTCTCCTTTAGGAGATAGAGGGAGAAAGCTTCATATATCTTTTAATTTCCATCAAGTATTTAATGTAGTTCATAATTCTTGTTTTTCCAGATTATCTCATAGACTGCTGCTGTTAGGACATATGGAAGGAGAGAAATGATAGACAACTGTATAACAACTGGAGAATAAGCTCAAAACCACGACGTGCAAGCGTGAATGTCACATGATTATCGTGTGCACCATCTATAGGAGAACAACATCACCTTGACGACCTTTGACGTCAACAATATTATCCATCCACCAACTACACTTGTTGGTCACCACATAAACTAAACAATTGAAACAAAATGGCTGCAATTCCTCAACAAGTGGCAGTGCCTACAGTGCTGAGTTTAGGTAGTAACGTCAAAGATTCAAGATGGCTGACATTAGAAGTCTGCCGGGAATTTCAGAGGACAAAATGTAGTCGTAGCTCTGAAGAATGTAAATTTGCCCACCCACCCCCACATGTAGAGGTTACCCAAGGACGTGTAACTTGCTGTTTTGATGCCATAAAGGTACATTTTCATTTTACTGCTTAAATTTCACCTTTTGAACTTTTTCCCAAGGTCAGTTTCAAATTACAACTTTCAGTCATCCAATTTCACTGGATCCAACTTCACTGGAAATCCAAAAGCCAGAGCACTTTGAATTGTGCCACTTAGTACTCCCAGGTGAAGTAGTAACTTCTAACAAGTAGTATACTCTCAGATACATTACTTAGTACTCCCAGGTGAAGTACTGATAACTAACAGGTAGTGTACTCTCAGGTACATTACTTAGTACTCCCTGGTAAAGTACTGAGTTTTAACAGGTACTGTACTCTCAGGTACTTTACTTAGTACTCCTAGGTGAAGTACTGAATACCAACAGGTACTGTACTCTCAGGTACATTACTTAGTACTCCTAGGTGAAGTACTGAATACCAACAGGTACTGTACTCTCAGGTACATTACTTAGTACTCCTAGGTGAAGTACTGAATACCAACATGTAGTGTACTCTCAGGTACATTACTTAGTACTCCCAGGTGAAGTGCTGAATACCAACAGGTACTGTACTCTCAGGTACATTACTTAGTACTCCCTGGTGAAGTGCTGAATACCAACAGGTACTGTACTCTCAGGTACATTACTTAGTACTCCCAGGTGAAGTACTGAATACCAACAGGTACTGTACTCTCAGGTATATTAATGAGTAGTTTCACAGGTAGACTACTTTTTTGTATATTATTGAGAGTAGTTCCAGGTGCATTACTGAGTATTAATAAGTACTCTATTAATAATACACTGAAATACATTACTGAGTACTTTCAAGTACATTACTGAGTACTCCCAATTATATTACCGAGTACTTCCAAGTGGAGTACTGAGTACTAACAGGTTTTTGGTACATTACTGAGTACTTCCAGGTGCAGTTCTGAGTACTTACAGGTATAGTAGTCTGTGGTACATTATTGAGAACTCCCAAGTATATTACCGAGCACTTCCAAGTGGAGTACTGAGTACTAACAGGTCTGTGGTACATGACTGAGTACTTCCAGATGCAGTTCTGAGTACTAACAGGTATAGTAGTCTGTGGTACATGACTGAGTACTTCCAGATGCAGTTCTGAGTACTGACAGGTATAGTAGTCTGTGGTACATGACTGAGTACTTCCAGATACAGTTCTGAGTACTAACAGGTATAGTAGTCTGTGGTACATGACTGAGTACTTCCAGATGCAGTTCTGAGTACTAACAGGTATAGTAGTCTGTGGTACATGACTGAGTACTTCCAGATGCACTTCTGAGTACTAACAGGTATAGTAGTCTGTGGTACATTACTGAGTACTTACAGGTATAGTAGTCTGTGGTACATGACTGAGTACTTCCAGATGCAGTTCTGAGTACTAACAGGCTTTCAAATGGCTGTGGTTTATGAAGTTTCTGGTGAAGTTTGGTTTTTCAGATGGTCCAGGCTGAGAGTTAATGATAACTACTTTAGGCTTTGTTAATATGGAATATCAGTTTATAATGATGATTTACAATTCATTTCCAAATTCTAATATGATTATTCATCATAATTATTTAAAAACATCATAATTTACAAGCATGTTACATTTGCTGCATATGCTTAGACAAAATATGATCTAGATTACTAATTGTAAATTGAATGAATTAATGTATCTAGTTATTCAGTTAATGTCATAGTTAAAAGCATGTTATGATTTTAATCTTTTCATGCAAACCCAGCTACTATTTTGTGTAGAATGGCATGGAATATGTAGGTCCAAGAACAATTCCTATGTAAGATGTGTCCTCACATATAAACATATTTATGGTTCAGTGAACTGATATGCTCATGCAGCTTCCCCGGCTAGCTCTTACTAAGGAATGATTCTAGCGAAATGCATGGAAATCAAGATTGCTTTTTGTACAGATAATTGCATTTATTTGAATAATACACTTGAAATGTGAAAGAAAACAGACCCACATTGCTTTAATACTTCTATATGGGAAATGTCTTGTTATGTCTGCACATTTCAAGTTTATGTATTTTTAATTGGCTTCTTTCTATCTCAGTCTTATGCACTTTCAAACTGAAATTTTGATGTGATATATAATACTTGAAAGAATTTAATTTTGTTGTTTTTTACAAAATGCAAATATTTATATGATTTGTAAAACCCTGAATTGCAGCATGGGTTAGAAAGTAGCCTATATGATTAGCAGGCAAGCTTGTTCAACTATACAGTACAAAACTTACATCTCCCTTTGTGGCTGAATACAAGTTTTGCCAAGTGTTGTACTGTACACAGGTTTAGTTGGATGTGCTTTCTCATGTTTTGCATATATTTTTTGCAATATCCTTTAGGTTTTCATATATATATGAAAATCAGAGAGGAATTTAATTGAAGAAAAGCCAGCATTTTCTGATTATTTTGCAACGCTCAAATCTTAAATCTCACTTGTAAGCTGCAAATTATGTAAAAGTAAATTATGTTGACAAAAAATAAATTTTTGCATACTATTCTATTTTATTTATTGCAGCTAGAGGTTTTATTTGGTAGCAGCCTCTATGTAAAAATATATACATAGCTAGATTTATGCTCCATTTTATAATAAATGCCAATGTAAGTGCCATTTATCTTGATGAAAATATGACGGGTGTTTATAGGTAGAGGTCACCTTTCGCTATGAATCACATGTCAAAATTATAAAAAGTGTTTGAACATTCAGTTTATTTTAAAGTGTTTGAGTATCAGAGCCTCACTGCCATTTCGTATCCAAGATTATGCAATAAGATATAGTAACTATTAAAATTTTAAATCTATATTTGTAAGATATGATTTCATGACATCAACATGACAAATTCTACATTTAAGTAGATATCTAAAAACATGATCTTTTCAAGACAACTTTCAGAAGACTGCCCATGGTATTGCAAGTTAATCTAAATATAATTTAGAATCGGAAGTGAAAATGCTATCGAAAAATTCCAGGTAATAAGGATGAAAACTGTTTTTAATTCACTCAACATAATGTGGTCACCTTGTTCTTGCATTTCTGAGAATTATGTTATGAGTGCTTTATTTAACATGCATTGATATCATGTCATATATAGAAAGGCAATGCGGGATAACAACATCCATTTATTGGTTGTATATTAGGTCAACCTGGCTTTATTATATGATTCATATGTGCAGTCAATGAACCCTTAAGATATGGCAGATTTCATAAAGAGCAATGTGGGCTTTATGGGCCATCATGGTCATGGTGTATCATGCAAAATAGGAATCAAAAACCAAGAGTCTACTGTAATGAGCAATAATGCAAAGGAATAAGCAGGCGGCAAGCATTTTTGTTGACTGGATTGAATATATAAGGTCAGATAGAGAGAAATGTAGGTGAAGCTTGGATGATGTAGGCATGGCCATATGACAAGGAATGAACTCATACATTGGATTGGATGATGTAGGCATGGCCATATGACAAGGAATGAACTCATACATTGGATTGGATGATGTAGGCATGGCCATATGACAAGGAATGAACTCATACATTGGATTGGATGATGTAGGCATTGCCATATGACAAGGAATGAACTCATACATTGGATTGGATGATGTAGGCATGGCTATATGACAAGGAATGAACTCATACATTGGATTGGATGATGTAGACATGGCTATATGACAAGGAATGAACTCATGCATTGGATTTGATGATGTAGGCATGGCCATATGACAAGGAATGAACTCATACATTGGATTGGATGACGTAGGCATGGCCATATGACAAGGAATGAACTCATACATTGGATTGGATGATGTAGGCATGGCCATATGACAAGGAATGAACTCATACATTGGATTGGATGATGTAGGCATGGCCATATGACAAGGAATGAACTCATACATTGGATTGGATGATGTAGGCATTGCCATATGACAAGGAATGAACTCATACATTGGATTGGATGATGTAGGCATTGCCATATGACAAGGAATGAACTCATACATTGGATTGGATGATGTAGGCATGGCCATATGACAAGGAATGAACTCATACATTGGATTGGATGATGTAGGCATGGCCATATGCCAAGGAATGAACTCATACATTGGATTTGGAACCCAAATGGATTCAAATTGCAATCCTGCCATCTTAAAACTATTAACTGTACTTTTATCAGATACTAACATTGATCTGTTTTGAAAATAACATAAGATGTTAACTTTTTCCAAGTTATCCCCTGTATTCTATATATGTATGCATTGAAACTGACTCCACTCATAGCATTTCCCAGATATTTTTCAATGAAGTACCTGATTTTCATTTCCCTTGTTCAGAATGTAAAGTTTGTATTATTTTTTAAGCAACATAGAATATCTCTCTTCTGAGCTATATAGAGATGAATAACATGACAACATGCTTTTTTAACACAGACATTTCCAAATTCCTGCAAACTGGCAAATTCCTGGTATATTTGTAAACAGAAAAGTGATTACCTCCCTTACATAGAATTCTTCAATTACATGTTTAAACTTAGACTAATGGGAGGAAATAATCAGAAATTATATAACAAATATGGAGGTATAAGTCTGTGTTATTACGAAATGACAAAATTATTATTACTGTAAAGATCCAAGTTTGGGCCATAGGTAGGAAAGACATGATATGTTAGAAATAGGCTGAATTTGGGAAAGAACAGAAATGTTCAACAGACACAGAAAGATGAAATATTTCCAACTTTATATTTGGAAACATGAACGCATCCATCAATCCCATGCTGCAATGCTGCTCAACATGTCATATTATGAGGCAGTTGGACTCCTTTGTGGTAAAAAAGTGTGAGGAATTATCACCACAGTATGCAGGTTCCACATGGTGGCAAATATGTTTTCCTGACATAAATAATGCCTGGAACTGGTAGAACACACAACTTTTTTGTTTCTAATTTAGGAATCTGTTTATTTCTCATAACCCCAGTTTTTATCCTTGGTTTATTTTTGATGTTGACTTTATCTTTCTGTTATCTAGTTCTTCACCTTTGCTTGTTGCACCATTTCTCAATTATCAGTTGTTGTGTATCTCTTTGGCTCTAAAATATGAATAGACTTGGCTCTAGCTGCTGTGTGTGAATTCTTTCCCATTTTGGTTTGTTCCCCGATTGTATTGACACCATTCCTCTCCTGTTTCTTTCTTTACACTATGTTCTCTTCATGAAAATGTGTCTTGTCTGTTATCTTTTTTGTTGAGGGATTTTAGGTTCCAGTTCTTGCAGAAGAATGTTTTCAGAGATATAACTGCTTGCTATGAGATATCACAGTCCAGGATATAGCAGTGCAAGAATGTTGTGTTTTAAATCAGATTGAGCAGAGCAGACGGCTTCATTACATTTGCCGCCATGCTTGTTTGGTTCTCATGCTCAATTGGAATTACTTCAAAAGTGTGCACTTTTGCCAATGGGTGTATTTCTAATCATTGTCAACTTGTCACAGAAAAGTCTTCAGATTTGCATTACTGTTCTGGCTCTGTTAATGCGGTCAGTTTCCATATTGATAATTCTTACATGTGTAGTAGGAGTCCCATGATTCATCGATACATTGATGCATCGGCTCGTTTGGTTACTATACAAGCGTATCGATACACACTGTCGAATATCGATACACAAAAATATTGTCAACATACCTGTAATACTCAGCTTTTTGAAAGTTGAATTTTACATTTTTTGTGTGGGTTACAGTGACGTGTCCCTTATTGAGTATTAATACGAACAGACAACAAACTGTATCCTCAGTCAATGCTAACAAATTACTTCTGTCCACTATTTCTTTGGGTCTTTTATCCGACAAAATTTGGAAATGTTAGTTCATCTCAATATATTGAATAAAAAGCGAACAATTTTTTTTTGTAATTATAGACGACGTAATGTTTATCTGAATGTTTGAAAATTTTGAATGACATTAAATGTATCGAATCGTTGCTTGTATCGTTAGGTAAGTATCGATAAATGTATCGTTTCATAATGTATCATGGGACCCCTAATGTGTTAATCATTGTTAGATATGTAAAAACATTAGACTGTGGGTGGATATGTGAAAACATATTTTGTTTGGTTCTCAGTGTTTGGAATTAATCATTTGTTTATGTATTGTGTTTATCTGGCAGCAGGTTCAAGTGATATGACTGCTTAGTTTCACATCTCATATGTTCTTTGCTGTTTTATCAAATGCTATTAATGTTAGTTCAATGAAGGTATTAAAGTGGCTGTATATCTCTCTTCACTAACCAATTCTCCTAGAATTCTCTGATGCTAGTTTCTCCTCCAGGAGATCATGGGATGTCTGGGATGGGATCATAGGATGGAATATGGCTGTTTTATGACAAACACGTGACAAAAAGATGACAGACAATAAAAACAACATCTTTTGTTTTTATTGTTTGTGTGGAACTACTAATCTAGTATATGTAGGTTCTCAAAACTTAAGATTCCTGATCTAATGCACATTGGGCGTATATATACGTATAAAGTAAAATGGGAGTCAGTGACCAAATTTGGAGGGTTCTTTTCTATACTGTATATGAGGTTCAAAGGTGTGGATTTGGAGGAAGTGGGAAAGGAAGTGAGGTAAATGTTATGATAACCCCAATATATTTATTTTGGTAAAAACATGATTTACTAATCAAGAATATATTTAATACTGTTATCTCAAGAGAACACTCTCGAGATTAACAATTGGAGTTTCATAGAATGTTTCACTGTCTCTTTCAGACTAAAATTAAGGAAATTGATTTAACCTTTACCATGCTGCCTTATTTCAGCAAATATATCCCACGCAACTGGCTTATTTTTCAAAGAGTGCAAAAAATGATATACCTGGACTAAATAATTAATATCTCAATAACTACTGAATGAATCTGGATAAAATTTTCACAAAGGGAAGATACAGTGGCCTGGCTCATGAAAAAAATGTTCTCATGAATTTTTTCGTACATTAACACGACTGGGCATAAATATACCATGAATACTCCTCCGGAATCCGCCGCTCCGCCTCTTCGTCTGGTCAGAATCCAAATCTGAATTTGCAGCGATCGAATGTTCAATTTTTCAATTCAGAAAATATTCTAGTTTCTATTTTCGATGACCGTTATCGGCTTCCAAGAGCCTAAAGAGCTCGAAATCGTAATCTATTTCCTCCACATTTTCGTTGTGATCGTATTTGTCCACCATTTTGTACGATCCGTTCACTAAAAACGACTAAAACACTGTTTAAATTGATGAATTGAGAATTATTTTTCGAAATATCGCCATTTCTAGGTCAACAGGAAGTCATGTTAGGCACTGAATAAATCGGGCAATCTAATTGGACAATACGAATGGCGCGAAAAAGTAAAGTTTGAAATCGGGCGTACGGGTCCGCCGGCAGTTGTGAGAGACATTTTAGTCTCGGCGGACGAGTCCGCCGGCAGCACGCTAAAGGTTAAGATTAACATACTGCAATGTTAACATATTTCACTTTTAATTGCCAATAACGCCATTATTCTTTTCATATCAATCATTAAGGAAAACATGGTTTGATAGCTCTGTATTGAGAATAATCAAGGAGAATCTTGTGACCTAGTAAATGATTTAAACACTTCATTTTATTTTAAAGATTGCCAGCCACAAGGATGTAAAAATGGAATGCCTTCTATTGTGTATTTTAATATTGTGTCCATTTCATTTTTTGTCTGAGAAATGATTGTTCTAATATGCAGTATATATTCCAGTGTTATATCATCACATTGACTTCTGAAGAAGAAGCCTTTCTGATATCTAAGCTCCTTCTCACTCTACTTTTGCAGGCATCTGACTTTTCTGGTGCATATCTGCAAATATTCCTGATCTTGATTTATCCTTGGTATGTGTACATATATTTCCAGAGAGAGAAAAAGAGAAAGGAGCTAGCACCTCAATTACATGTATCAATGTACTAATATTTTGTTCATCAATAATATTATATTATATATTCCAATAGCAATAGCATATTAATGGGGGGGGGGGGTGTATAGAGGGTCTTGGAAAAGCATATACAATATTTTTCAGCTCTCTTATACCATATACAATATTTTTTCACCATATACAATATTTTTCACAGCTCTTATACCATATACGATATTTTAGGTGAAATACAATATACGATAATTTTGAAACTGCTTTTGATTAAAGTTTGGATATTTTTAAGGAAATAATATTAGGAGAGAATCCATGTACTAAAGTAAATGTATTATTATAAGGGAAATAGACTCCACATACATACCACAATGATTTCATTTATTACATTATGAATAAGACACCATTCGGGTACATCCGCATTTTCAGGTAAACAAGTTGATTTAAAACACATTTATGATATAAGATTCATGACTTATCTTTAGTGATTTCACAACCTACTTTGACCAAAAAACTAACTTTAACATTTCTGCAATTTGCTAAAGCCATTAGCCCATTACCTGTAAAAGTACCATAAAGATATTCAAAATTAGCACAAAACCTGCATCATTAGAATGGGTGGAACTCAGTGTTCCTCTTTCTTATGACCTACTTTCCCATGACATATTTTAATGTCAATGGAATCCTTCATAGTGAGCCAGGGAAAAAAATCCTTGAAACATAATTGATGCAAAATTGAGAATGTGGAATAAAAGATTCATCATGTGTTCTATGAAAATAAAGTTTGCTGAGGAAAATATGTATCAGATAGGTAATGAAGATTCACAATGCACAATGATTTTGTAAAGCAGTTACCTGAAAATATTAAGTATTGAAAACAGTTTCAGAAATAAAGGACTTCACAAACTTCCATGTAGATAATTCATTTTTGATTGGACTCGAGTCTGGAAATTAGAGTTTGAAATAAAGGCAAGACGAGACTTGATTGTTTAAACATTTGAAACAAGAGACACTTC